AAGGTCAAGATCTAGTAAAAGAAAGGTGCCTACGGATTTCTCAAATTTGAGAAATAAATTCCTTTAATGATGCTTTATAACTTTAGCTTGGTCAAATAATGTGTTTCGGGGCATAATTTGTAGGTAAACAAGACGAAAAATCATATTTGAAATTGTCATTTTGCAATGAAAAAATTAAGAAAACCAATCATGAATACGGGAGTTTTTTTCCATATCAGACAAAGGAAATGTATCCAGATTGCCTACAGTCTCTCAGAAAACGGTAATTTCTATGTTCTTGGCCTCTTCTTTAAAATAATATTGAATTGAATATAGGTATCGGGATTAGTTTTCACATGATTTCAAACTGAATTCCATGAAAATACTTTATTTACTACATAATTATATTAGAGCCGTAAAGTACGGGAAAAAGAAACTTGAAATTGATTATGACGTCATAATGGATCTAACACCAAATAGTTAGTCTAAAGTCATTTACTAGATCTTGACCATAAATAATTTATCTGTGAAGCAAAATAGTGACGTCACAATAGTCAATATAAACTGCATGGATGGTTCAATAGTGACGTCATAATAAATACGACGTAACAATCCCTACATGATTTTTAAGACATTTCTTTATCAGAGCAGTGACGTGAAATATTATATAAATAGTGCACGTTTTTGAGGGTAACAGTATACACTTAACCACTGGCTGTGAGTGGGATAGCTCTTTTGTCAAACCCGCGACAGGAACTATTCCCCGAGGGCTTGCCCGAGGGGAATAGTTCCTGTCAAGGGTTTGATGAAAGAGCTATCCCACTCACAGCCAGTGGATAAGTGTTTTATTATACTGATGTATATCATAATTTCTGGGGGTTTGTATTACCTCATACTACAGCTTTATAGGCAAAACATGAAAAGAATAATTATATTAGAAAGATTTGAACAAGTATTTGGAAATAGATAACACTGCAAGAATGAGCTGAAATCACGATGAGGTCACAATGCTACTGAAGTCAGGATGACATCATCAGTGTATAGATTGATTATAGGAAATCAAAATTGGCGGCAAAAATTGCATGAAAATTTTCCGAAGGGTGGATAGCATAAACTATACCCCGGGGTATAGCTTTGCTATGCGTGGAAATTTTCAGACTATAAAAGATAGTTATTTTACCTTCTTAACTTTATATAGTAAACATTTTAACAGAAGTATAATAATTGAAATTGACACCCCAAGGAAAACCATTGTCAACCGACGCGTCAGCGGAGGTTGACAATGGTTTTCCGAGGGGTGTCAATTTCAACTGTTACCCTCAAAAACGTGCACTATTTATTTTATTATACTGAATGTCTTATTGATTTCGGATGTCATAAAAAAATTCGGAGATCGTCGTTAGGTTCACGCTTAGAAAGCTTTCAAACTCCCCGCTTCTATTTTTCTCAATAAGAAAGCCTCGGAAAAGATTTACCAACCTCTCTATTGTTTGTTTGTTACTCAAAAAGTCCTTTATCATCTAAAGTTTGCACTTGCAAGGATGTTTCGTCTGTTGTTTGTTGTTTTCAAGTAAGCTACATCGGACGCAAGCTTTTATTGACGTCGTTTATTCGGCTTCTTTCAAACGCACAATCGACGTTTTGAGAATTCTACGGTGAACCGTACGAGCATGATTTGAACGCATGTGATATTTTCGTAATGTTACCCGTTGTCAAGTGTGTTGCTAACGCTGAGGGTAACATTACGGATTGTTAAATGCGTCTAAACCAATCAGATTTTAGTATTTAACATGAAAGTATAATAAATGGAGATAACGAACAGTATTCAACCTCAAAAGTCCATTAAACAATACAAAATAAGAGCAGAGCAAACACGGACCTCCAAACATCAGAGGTGGGATCAGGTGCCATGGAGGAGTGAGCATCCCCTGCCGACCGGTCACACCCGCCGTGTGCTCCTTGTCATGATCGGGAAATAACGGAAAAATCCGTCGACAATTCAGTGTGTAAATAATGGCCTAACAATTTGTATGAAAAACGTCAGTCAGCATTTGACTCAATGATAAATTGTACTTGCTGACAAGGTCATTGTACCGACCATAGAACTTACGAAATGATGACTTTAAACGAGACAGCTGATCTTCTTGTTTCCTCAACTTATTTGTCAATAATTTACCTCGTTTTAGAAATTGTACATACGTAGAGCATGCTCTTGCGTATCGAATCAACTGAAAGATATATACCCCGTATGCAGGTGATGAAGGTATATTGCTGCATAAGTAAGGGAAGTTGACGATTGAAAAGTTAAAGTCATCACGTTTATCATAAAGCTTGTTTGTTAGATTACCATTAACGTCTTTTTCAAGTAAAATATCCAAATATGAAACAGATGTGTCAGACTCTGTGGTATCTTTTATCTCAAGTTCACCAGGATATATCGTATCGACATAGGAATGGAAATAGCCATTGTTAATTGACAATACGCCGTCGATATATCTAAATGTCGAGTTGAAGGCCACAGCAAGTGTTTTCTTCTTTTCACGTACAAGATTTTGGACAAATTCTGCTTCATATGAATACAAAAAAAGGTCTGCTAATAACGGGGCGCAATGGTACCATGGGAATTCCAACAGATTGTTGGAAGACCTGGTCTCCAGAAACCACATAGATATTGTCAATCAGAAACTCAAGAATCTTTTTAATGTCGACTTCAGAGTACTTGTGTGTATAATCAGAATGTTTTTCAACAAAATAATTTTGCAAATGACAAGGTAAGTATATTTACGAGTTCCATTTTTATTGAAAAAGCAGCTGTCAATGATATCAAAAAGCCTGGACTTTAATTTATCGTGGGGAATGGTAGTGTATAAAATTGAAAAGTCGTAAGTTTTTAAGCTGTTGATTTTGGTAAAATCTTGTGATTTCAAATTTTCCAAAAGTTCCTTGGAATTTTTAAGTATCCACATCTGATTTACACCACTTCTCGAATATATTGTTGCACAGTACTCTTGAAGTTTCTCCTTCACCACTGTTAATATCTTAGTGAGGAGTAAAGATAGAGGCTTGGTTGAACATTTACTGGAACCCGCTATGTATCTTTGTAAGGATTTTTATGAAGTTTCGGAATCCAATATAAATATGGTAATTCAAATTCATTTTGGTTGTTTGGAATATCAAAAATATTCAAAACTGACATATGATTTTGAAGAATTTCTTCCTTAGAAAGGGAACTATGAGTATAAGTTAGATTACCACTTGTAGAATTAAATCCAAGTTCCTCTAAAATACATTTAATATAATGAGCCTTACAAACAAAGACAATGTTGTTACTTGCTTTGTCAGCAGGGACCAGTACGTACTGATCATGTAATCTATCTATTTCTTTTTTCACTTCTGGATTATTTGATACAGAAGGATAGATGGTTTTCATATTGCCTCTCAATCTTTTAATGCGCGATTTTAACATACATCTGATACATTTAATCCATTCTGACAAAGTGTCAAGGTCTTGTTATACGTCACTGATCAGAGAGAGAGAGAGAGAGAGAGAGAGAGAGAGAGAGAGAGAGAGAGAGAGAGAGAATAATTACTTGAGGGGAGAGAAGAGAGTTAAGAAATTAAAGCTATATATGGCGTAGCTGAGCTAAAAAATAATAATGCAAGATTGAGTTTTGATATACATAATATACATGCATGTTATTTACGTTCAAATTAAAAAATTTCACCGATTTTGAACTTGAATAACCTCGGGTTTCTATAGCTAAATTGTCGTCAAACTTTGTCTGTTATTTAAATGTAGAGTCGGTGAATAAATCGGTTATTGTTTTAAATTTTTGATATCTTTGAATCGCGATTGATTTAAATTGGTAATTAACAGAAAACCCTATCTTTATATAAATAAATAAAACAAATAGAAAGATCTTTTAATTTTGGTCTATGTAACTATATATGTAAAAAAAAAAATACGCCTTTAAAAAAAAAATCTAAACATGTAAAATCTTTTTTAAAAAAATCTTAAAATTTAACATATGATGCATAGTACTTAGCAGTCAGGAGACTGAATAAAAATATGTTACCTCTTATGCCAAAAAATTAGCCCCCCCCTTCTTCCGCTAAAATTAAGTCGTACGATATATTAGTTCTGACGCATGTCAATCGTCCTTCACCTCAATGTTTACATTCCTTGATAGGCATGATCATGACATGATGAAGTAGGTGAGTTAATTTTTAACATTGCTAAATCATAGTGTAGATCAGACACGAATGGACGTCGTGAGAATTGATATTCCATTCTTTCAATTCAAATGAATGTCACTGCTAAAATTTACCGGATTATTTATTAAACAATATTATTTCAAAATACCCTGGGGGCGATATACAGATATATATGGTATGAACAAAGCTTGACGTAAATCGTACAGATTAAAATGGTGTGGATTAAAGAAACAACTCTTGTGTACATGCAATGTTTGCGAGAGAGAGAGAGAGAGAGAGAGATGCTTGTGAACATGGTGAATTACCTGATTACTGCTGACAGTGCGGGTCAGTAATATTTTTCACTTTAGAGAAGTCGACAGTAATTTAGACATTGCATTTATCCCGATTCTTCAAATTATATACATACATTATAGTCAGTTGAATAGTTATCTAATGTTCATCGCTCAAAATAATATTCGGCTTGTCCCGAGACACCGATTACTCTAAGAACTAGGTCACCGGTTGCACCGAATTCGATTTTTTTTCATTTGCCGATATACAAGTACGTACACATGTGATGTCCATAAATCATTCAGTCCATATTTGGTGTTATAGTCTGACAAATGAACAGTCAGTAAAATTTTAATTTTGTGAATGAACACATCCTTTAAAGAAAGTACATGTACTACATATTGACATTTATTCAACATTGCGTATTCTTACGCAACAATTAGCTTTTTGTGTATGAGTCATTTAAATGACAACTAGGGAAAACCATCTCCTTGCACAAAAAAATAATGAATATGAGATTCGTATTTTAGTTTTCAGCATACATCAGGTTACAATGCTTGAACCAACTACAGACAATCTGCAGGACACAAAAATCAAAAAGGAAGTGAAACGCAAAGACATGAAAGGCAAGAAAAGACAAAAGTACATCCCTACATCAGAGCCATTAGAACTTCCCTTCTGTCGAATCTGTGGAAAGAAGGCATCAGGCATTCATTTTGGAATATATAGCTGTGAGGCCTGCAAGGTATAATACTTCTTTATTGATTTTTTAAATTAGATTAATCCATTGCCAAATGTTTTATGATTTTTTTAAAATTTATTTTTAAATTTAAATATGTATTGAGTGATAAGCAGAGCAGTCAGTTTGGAATTGCTTTGTCAGATAAAAGTCTGAATGTCTGCATGTCTGTAAAGCACACATTGATCTTCTGGACTCTAATAAATTATGATGTAGCAAAAAATAATCTTTCTCTTGCTCTCTTCTTAAACACAGTTGAACTTTGCTATCTCGAACACATACATGTGTATATATCAAATTCTGTGGATATGCTGAAGTGATTTGGAAGTCCCAGCTGCATATTCTTTAAGTATTTTACCCTGGATATATCAAATCCTTGGATATCTTGAAGTTTTTTTCATGGCATGTCCCATCCAGTTTGAGATAACAATGTTTGACTGTAGTTTGTTCCCTGATTATACTACTGTAATCTTTACGAATGACAACCTCAGAAAAATCAGCCACAAGTGGCAGGATTTCGATATTTAGCACTGTATAACCTTGATCTTTGATATTTACCACTGTATAACCTTGATCTTTGATCACTTATGTTCAGATGGTACATTACTCAGTAATATATAATTTTTCCCAAGAATTTTTTTATTGAAGTACATGTATTAGTACTTGAACAAGTTTCCTCACAAAAAGTTGATATACCTTAACAGGCATTTGTGCAAGATTCCAGAGGATGGTATTTCCTGTCATTATAATCTTATAGGAAATCGCTTGAACTGATGATATCACAATTTTTGTTTTAGTCAAAAGATATATATATGACTTAATTGACTCACCAAAATTTGTAAATTTGCAAATGGCAGATGATCTCCCAGACAGAAGAGTTACATTTCAAAAATTGTATTGAACTGTAAAGTTACATTTTGACATCTTCCCACTTTTCACCACATGATGTGGCTTGGTCAAACATGGAGTTGTTTAGCTAAACCAGGGTACGACACTCGTCAAAATTTGGTCTCGCCATTTGGGCAACCTTGGTAATGATTTCAGGTTGCCCGAGTGAATTTCAGGTCGCCCGAACAAAATATCAAATGAAATAAAAATGTGCAATTGTTTAAAATTTGTTAAGATAACAGAAGTTCCGCTTTCGTATTATAATATGTAAACCAGACATTTTTAGAATGTCAAAAGCTGTCTTCCAGTATTTTATCAAACAAAGAAAACAGCCAACAAATATTAATAAGCAGAGTCAGAATGCTAATTAGGCTTTAAAAAATTATGTTTGTTTCATATAATATTCCCTATAAATCAAGGGTTGGTAGGTCGGGATTTTTTTTTTGGCTAATGTACAATCTCACCTCACATATTGACACAAAATAAAGTTTCTAGTTTAAAAATTAATTTTCACTTACCATAAAGGCCTAAATAAATGGGGTCAAACATCCCTGATCTGAATTAACCAAGTGTAATGTTTACAGTGGACACCCAACATGGCTATCATCAGAAAACGAACATCAGAAAGGTAGCTAAACACAGTTTTGTATAAAATCCAGGGGGTTTTTCTCAGAGAAAAGCATGATGGGTAGGAATTTCCCTGATATTTTTATGCAGTGTACATGAAAATTGCAGCTTTTTTATTTTTATTTGCATAAAGTAGAGTCTTATCTTAAGATTAAATGAAAAAAGTATACAAATATTTTTTGAGAATTAATTTTTGTGTAACTTTTTAATAGTGGGAGATAACTCTAAAAACACCCATTTTTCACATGTGCAGAATTGCATGATTTGAGTATTAGGTAAAGTAGCTCTTTAAAAAGCTGGAAAATGTACCCTAAAAGTACAACAAAAAGAAAGCTAAGGACTTGTTGTGTGAAATGCATAGCACTTATATTTTCTGATTTCTGCACTGTTTGTCATCAAGGGAGCTAAAAATGCATAGGTGTACTACAATTAGAGGCATAAATTTCCCTATTTTCCTCATGTTTTATGTGTCAAATACACCTTATTAATTAGTAGGCGATAAATGCAATATGTTTATATATTTATAAAATTCACCATTTTATCTTTCTATTGATATATAGATGTCTATGTAACAAGTCTTCATATTATTTCTTTACGGGTGTCACTTTAGCATGTCCCTCATTCAGTAACGTCATGATAACGTCATAAATAAAACTGTGTTTTGCACCCAAAGTTGTGGGGGAAATGCTAGATGTTACATTAATGATTGTTACTCTTTATATTTATGGTGATTGTTGACTAGGTTTACATATTTTTTTATCTCAATTAAAACTTAATTTAACACTTTTGGTAAAAATTGCATCAGCTGATTGATCAAACACAGACTTGGCAGAAAGAAAAATCCACGTGGCTGCTGTTTGAATGGGTCGGTTGGGTTACAGGAAACAATGTTTTCAAGGCCTTATAAAGTTTATTTTAAAATATTAAACATTATTATTGAATATTCCCAACTTGTCCCAGGTCGTCATTTGGGCGAGCCAGACTGAAAATCAGGTCGTCCAAAATCATTCCGGGATGGAAATGACGAGGTGACGAGCGTGAATGTCGAACCCTGCTAAACAGATATCACTTCTCTCACCTATTAATGCAAAGATATATTAGAATTTTGGAAGAAAAAAAATGTGTATGTTATTTATCTTTAACATGATATTCATTTAAACAATCACTCCAAAATAACAAACTTAATGATTATGAAATTTAATTTTATGTGTAAACAGTGTAATGTGTAATCATTTAATTGGATGTTTACCCCCCTCAAGTATGTAAGCTGGGTATTAGCTAAAGGTGTGTGAAAAATTCCTCTCGAGACCACCTCTGTAACCTTTATTTATCTGTACATTTTTTTTTTCCATAAGGCTTCTGTGCTCCTTGGAACACTTCATTTAGATGTGTACTTATAAATTTTTATTGACCCATATCCATGTACATGTAGTTTATCTAGCAGACCTGTCACCATTTAGTATGGTTAAAAAAAAAATGCAGTGCACGTGATGTCGACATTATTTGATTATGGTGAATAAGTGGAAAATCAGAAAATGAAGTAAATCAAATTTAGATCTAATCTGTTTATGATTAAATGAAAATTTATATTTTGAATTAGCATTTTCCATTTGCATTTTCATAGGCTTTCTTCAGAAGATGTTTACAACGAAAAACCCCATTTAAGTGTGACAAGGGGGATAACTGCCTCATTGACGAACAGCAGAAAGGTCTAAATTGTTCTGCTTGTCGTTTAAAGAAATGTCTTGACAATGGAATGTCGAAAGAAGGTAAACATTTACACTCACTGAAGTTATAATAGTGTAATTTTGCATGGATAGATTTTATAGAACATTCTTGTTTAGTGGGAAAGAACATCAGAAGATCTTGATACACATAACAGTAAAATTTGACCATTTAAATCCAGTTATACTGGTAATCATTTTAAAACTAGCTTTACTCAAGAGCCTTGAAGTGTTCAGTTTTTTGGTGCACTAATTTTGGCAACTAATTCTTGATTGCCAAGCTTAAAATGTCCTTGATAAATTTTTAATACAATTTTGTTCATTTATACCAAAACAGAAATGCCTAGCATCATTCTGATATTTCATACACAAAGAGAATTTGATTTGATGTTGATTATACAAAGTCTGAAATGCTGCATAGGCATTTTAGCTCTGAATCTCCCATCCATCAATAAATAAGTCCAAATAGTAAGCACCCTCTTTTAAAACAAACATCAATAACCTGGCTGTTTTAAATGAATTTCATACTTCAGAGTTCTGTATTTATTAGCATAAATTCATCACTATTTCACTGTAAACCTAGTATGTTATATATGAGTTGAATTTTGCAGGTGTGCGAATAGGTCGCTACTCTACTGCGGAAAGGACCAATGTCATAATGGAAGTCAAGAAACTTCATGCCTCAGTTAAAACCCCCCAACAACCATCCCTCCCCAAACAACCATCCCTTCCTGCTACAAATTCCACAGGCAGCGACAGTCTATTACCTTCAATAGACCTACTTACAGACCAGCCAGCAGACATTCCAGAAAATTCTTCTGAGATTATTGACATTCTGAACATTCCTCAGGATTTAGTTACAATTGAGGAAGTGTTCTCAATTACAGATAGCATATGTTTAGAAGTAGAGACCTCACCAGTTGAGAGTAATTATAGTTCCTCAAATGGACATGAATCACACAATTCTTCGATCTCCTCACCTTTATCCGTGAGCTCCCCTAATTCAGAGGAATCTGTGGAAAGCATGGGTTCATTAGTTGATGCTTTGGAGAACAATCAGATTGTAGTGTTAGAAAGCAGCCAGTTGTCTTTACCAAAGGAATGCCTAAATCGGTGGTTAATTAATGAAGAGGCTAGCCAGATTATCAACCAGTTAATGACAAGTTATCAATTTCTCCAACCATTCTCAATGTCACTGACCGAGGAGGAACGCAATGACATATTTACCCATGGTCTCGTAAGTATAAAGATTCAAGAAGTGGAATAAAAAACACTTTATTCATGCAGTAAACCTAAAGTATACACACACATTGAGAAATCAGAAACTGGTCAATTGACTTTCTACTAGCCTACATTTTTTGCACATGTGAAGAAATTTGAATTTTTTTAAATATTTTTTCTTTATAATTGCTTTTCCTTGTATAAAGCAATGGACAGATGTATTATTATGATTACACCCTGAAACCAAGAAGCTTTAAATTTCAAGAAGTAATGATACTTTTATACTTTTATTTATTTTTTACACTTGTTCAAATAATGTTCAATATTTTCATTTTTATTGGTGGTCATCTAATGTGTTTATATAGAAACAATACGAAGAGAGAGTACAACTTTTTGGGAAGATGGAGTTTCTTTCATTAGAAGAATACAAGGACATATATAAAAAGACCCAGATTGATATAGATGGCAGGCTAGAACTCTACTCCTTTGGTCGTTCTGAGATGACAAAGATGTTTGACGAATATGTCAAATTTAGCCAAGGAATTGTCAACTTTAATTCTCTGTGTGCAAAGGACAAGTCAGCTTTGTTAAAAGGTAAAAATAACTTGGGACTGACTTCAAGAAAAATAAAGAATTTTACCATTGCTAATTTTTTTATGCTTTTGAAAATTTGATTTCTCGAAAACAACAAATTCAAAGAACAAGGTTCACTTAGAGCCTTTTTTGGCCTTGTGAATTTCTGAAAAATCAACTGCTCAGCTTAAGTTGAAAATACATTAAATTTCACTTGGGTCCTTGGTTAGCTGCAATAATGTATCCCTCACCACTTTTTTTTTTGTGGGAGAGGGCTACAACTCCTTAGGATCTCATAATGGTGCAAGTGCGGGAGTGATTCACAACCATACAGACTTTGGCTCAAACTATCATTAAATGACTTTTTTATTAACATTTCTTACTTGAACACCAAAAATGCAGTTATGCAAGACATAAATTGTTCCAAAAATATAGTTAGTTGTCCATATATTGTTTATTTTCATGTATGTCAACATCACAACTTGAATTTTTCCACGATGTTTACTGACCTTGATCGATTTTGATTTTGGGACAGCCAATGAGAATTCGGGATCTAGGGAGCAGATCGATATAGGAGTCCCCTTATTTTAAGCATAAATATTGCTATTTATGAAAAAATATCCACCTCAAATTGTTTTATTTATCAATATTTAGTGACATTATACAAAACAATCATTTATCGGCACTGACATTAACTTTATCAAGCCTTTCTAAATTTCAAGTGCAAGTCTCCATACTGTCATGGCTGCTGAAGAAGACGACTGGTAAACATGCAGTTGTATTTTACCTTGTGTTAGCATATAAAGGGCTAGGTTGTTGATAATGAATAAAAATTCCATCTCAATTGAAGGAAGTTGAATGCAAAAGCATTTTTTTTTCTGCAGTCGCCCATGTCAAAATAATATTTTTGCACCATTACAGAGATCCTGTGGAATGGTATCCCTCTCCCAAAAACATCAGATAAAAAAAATATGAGAGGGCTACATTATTGCAGCTAGTCCTTCGTGAGTGCATACCTATTAAAAATGACATAATTTTCTTGCTAGTTCTTGTATTTTGAAGTTATGAATAACGTCATTATCCTCAAATCCTGAAAATTTCTTCAAAAATGGCCAAAAATTTAAGCTGTTTTTATTATTTTGCATATATAGCCCCAACCTCTTATCCAAAACATTAGATTATATAATGAAGGAACTGTTTCAGATTACATGTATAATCCATGTTTTATTTTTTGAAGTGAGGGGTAGGATTGTATTATAATTCTTTGTTGGAGGTACTCAAATGCACCCATTTTCTTCAAAATTCAAAAACATTGCAATTTCACAAAGCCAGCTGTTTTTCAATATTTGGACTCTCAGAGGAAACTTTTATATAGGAAATGAAAGCACCAAGTCTCTACTTATGTTGATGTTTGAAATCGAACACTGGGACTTGGTCAGTTAATTATATAATTAGTATATGGACAGGGCCATTTTAAGGATAAATTGAACCTATAGCTCTTAGGTATATACTAGGTATCTTTAGAATTTTTTTCTCTGCCAACATCTGGTTAACCAAATTTTTATGTGGATAAAATGTTCGATGAGCCCTGCTCAAAAATCAATGATAAAGGATGAAAAATTTAAAAAAAATTTTTAATATTAGGGAGAAAACAAGCTGTGTTCATACAATCATGTATTAATAAAGGGTGATGAATCACTTCAAAAAATGGCCCATACCCGCAACAAGCTTCCTTTGTGTTTTATTTGTTAGACTGATTGACCTCTAGAAGTTGCACATCATAAAAGAGGCAAAATTATTTCTGAATTTTTACAGCAGTTTTGGGGATTTCCAAACTTGCAGGGAGAAATAAAATGGTTTGCCACCTAATAATTACATCGAATTTTTTTTTTTCATTTAGCATCCAATTTTGACTTTGAAATGATTCTGGACTATCGATCTGTCGACACGGACAAAGAAATGTTACTGACCTACACAGGCAAGCTTATGCCTATGAGTGAGTGCTGTCCCCACATGTCAGTAGACACTATAAAAAGATGGGCTGACTTCTGCACAACCGTCGAAAAACTTTGTTTAAGTCCCCAGGAACATGCACTGACACTTGGCATCTGCTTGACATTTCAAGGTAAACAGATATAAAGTTTTAACCTATCACATTACATTATAGTGTTGTTTTCAAAAATATTGTACATGTAATAAAAGTATGTATTGGAAGAGAAGCTTTTAAGAGGTAATTTTTTTTTTTTTAATGAAATAACCATTTAAAAAGAAGCTAACTAGTGTACAGTTTCATCAGAATCAGAGACAAAAATATATCTCTGTCAAAACTAACCATGTTTAAAACTTCACCGAATTCCATATAACCAAAATGGACAAAGTACAAAGTAAACCTTGAGGTGAAGGGAGGGGAGAGGGGGGGAGGGGCAGGGAAGAACCCTGTGAACTAATCTACCACTTTCTTCAAATTAAGTCAATATAGTTTTTAATACCTTTTTTTTACTTCTCTGACAACAGATAGGTGTCCTCTGGAATCTCCACAGAAGGTGGAGGAAATTCAGCACAAGTTGATCAAAGTACTGGAGATATTACTACAAGAATCCCACAAACAAGAGAGTGGTGTGCGACTAGCCAAGATCATGGACTTGTTTGTGCGCCTGCGTGATATGCACCAAGAATACCATGACGTGTTGGAAGAGATGTGCAAAGATGACATCTTGACAGAATGTATTCCCGAGATTTATCTTTATGTTTGAGACATTTATATAGCATCACTTCATTTGTAATTGTTGGTAGTGTTTTAAAACATTGCAGTGCTGTGTAAATCTTGTTGTCTTTCATGTTGTTTTGAAATTGGAGTAAATTTTATTCTCATGACATATACCATTTAGTCACGAAACATAAAAGTTAAAAAATAATAAATGTTTTGCTATCTTACTTCTTGAAGAAATGAAGATGGGAAAATTAGTTTTAACATTTAAGATTTTGTCTCAAAATAAAATAAACATGTGTATTGGAAATTGGAAGGGGAATTTTTAAAGTTCTATTTGTACATATACATACATGTACATGTACTATACATGTATATAGATTTAAGTTCCTGTCTTGCTTTGTAATTAGCTACACATTTACAGAAATTTCCTTCTTCATTTCAAAGCAATCAGTTTGATACATGTTATTATTTTTGAGTGATTCACTCAGCATTTTTTTTATCTTAAGGAGAGAATCTTGACTTCTGGTTTCTCACTAAATGAATTAAATATTCAAAGTATATTTTCTTAAATGTCTTTTATATTTTAATAGACGTTTAGGATTTTAAAAATCACATTTTTCTTTCCTTCTCATATTAAATTGTACAACTTTAAATAGAAATGGTAAACTGACTTTGAAATAATTTTTGGCAGAATAGCGGCATATGAAAATACATTGTATCTCCTTTTCTGCTTCCTTCTCAAAATACTACAGAACAATGAATTTACTTCAATTAAGTTGCACTTTTAAACAATCAAAGGCTTAATTAAAAGAATTTTTTGAAGTAACTGGAATTATAAACTATGGTTTAAAGTTTTAAATTACATCAAATAAATATGATTTTCCAAACAAATCTTGTTAGCATTTGAAAAATTCCATTCTAAGAACAAGATTTGAGCAAAATTCAGTAAAAAAAAATGTTTTTCTTTCTTATTAAACGGTTAAAACTTTGTTTTTACAACATTTCGTATCTTTACATGACTACTTTACCGTATTTAAAAATGAGAAAATTTTAAATATACGAAGCATATAAAATTAACTGGTGTTTCCTTAAAAAAAATTGAGAAAACGTAGAGGAAATTCGAGTTAGACAGTATCTATTTAGTCTCAGTTTGGTAGTATCTTCTGATAGACCCTCTTTGGTATCATCTTTAAGGCAAAAAGAAAAACGATTAGTCTTTTGAAATAGAAGTAGGCTTCACAAGAATGGCAGCAGTATTTTTTTAATCTTAATGTAAAGGGAAAGATAATGACCTTGGCCTGACCTTGCTCCTAAAATAAAACGGTCAAATTTAATTAATACCACCATTTAGTGATATTGTCTTCATAAATCAGTGAAAATTTAATTAATTTTTAAGTACAGTTCCACGTAACAATCAGGCAGGAGGTGATACATGGGGTTCTCAAAAATTAATGATTTTTTACTCACAGTTTTTTCTTGGGCTATAAGCCATGTATGTGGAAGGAAAAATATTTTGGGTCATTGTTACTATGGAAACATGGACAAAGAAATTTCCCTAGCAACCGGCCAATTTTTCTTTGTAGATTGACGAAATTTCACTCATTTTGAAGGCTTTATACAAAATGTAAATATAGTAATTTTTTTCTTATCCAGTGTAATAAGAAAGATATACTTTTAAAATGTTCTGTCAACGTAATAACAAGAAATTACATTCTCTAATATATTTGTTATAGACACAGGTAAAGATACATGTTTCCCATTTTTTGCTGATTCAGCATTTTGCTTGATTTTAGCAAAAATCAAGTCGATATTATTCATTTCACCATCTTAATACAATTGTTTCATCTATTTCATGTAAAACCACAGGAAAACCTCTCTAAGAATTTGAAATAAAAAGTTTTGCAAATTTGAAATTCCTATCTGTTGCTAAGCAACAAAAATGGATGGTATGATAAATTTAAAAAGGGGAAATTGTAAAGCATTGGAAGAAAAATCGGATAAATTGTAATCATTGAGTACCAAAAACAAATTTTAAAATAATAAAATATAAAATATTCTTCCTTGTATACTAAAGACTATTTTACAATAAGCTATCTCCATGGCAACTGCAAATTTTCCTTAGCAACGAAGCATTGAAAGTTACTTTTAGCACATATTCATCTAAGTTTTTAAAACATCATCTGATTTTCATAGTTGAATTGCTATTGCCCAGAATCGACATTGTCAAACTGGTTTTTTTTAAAAGTATTTTTAAGTTAATTTGTCCATAGCAACAGAACTTGTCCACATAGCAACATATACATTTTATAAAGAATCAGTATGTAGCAATTCCTCAACAAAAAATCTCTGTCTTTAAGGATGTTAACTAGGCAAAAACATTTTACTTATAGAAATGAAAAATCATTTACTTGACTTGCTGGTATTTTTTCCACTTTCAAATGGCAAATCAATGACCTACTTTTTCATGCCAGACCCCAATTGAGACTCGAGAGTCTTAAAATTTCTTGCAATTTCCTGAAAATTTTGCATTATGACCAATATTTGCAACGAAAACTGGATGGTCTAATTTCTGACAAGTTTAAAAAATACAGTAATCTCGCCAAGAAAAAAAATCCTACTTTTGATGAGGTCTACTTGTGACAATGCAGACCTGGTGAGGAATTGATTGACCGAGGCCGAACACTGAGAATAATCAGTTCCTGACAAATTTCGTACAGTAACAAGTAGGCAGGATTCAGAAGTCAATAACTGTATTTTAAATTATCAGGATTTTTTACATTTTTTCTATCAAATATGTAAATGCCCAAACTATACTTAGTATTTTGTTTTGAAGGAAGATATAATTATATTTCAACAGTTTAAACTTTTTAACAAAGGTGGAAGAAAATATATTAAAACAATAAACATTTAAACCATTTACTTATAAGGAGTTTAGACAGTTCGATACTGGAGTCTGTGAGCAATTTGACTAGCTAATAAAAATGTAAGCAAAGCTATCAAAATTGGCAGAGACGGAAAACCCAATAAAACAAACTCTTTCTAACAAGAATACTGTCTCCTGAATAACGAGACCAAAAAGACTTATTTTGATGAAATAACTACATATGTGACATGTTATAGTGAGATACTAACTCGTGAACAAGATAGTTAATTAATCATAATCATAAAAAGACGACTAACTATTTGAAACGTTTTAACATGATATTAAACTCGTTGTAACGAGACTACAAACTCTTGGAGAATGAGATTAAAAAATTATTATAATATGATACTAACTCGTTATAAAAACTAGATAAGAAATTCATTTTAATGGGATAACTAATTCATTATTTAAGGAATGAATTTAATAGCTGGTTATACTGTATAACCTGGGTTGGGACAGTTTATCCTTTATAAAAAGCGAAGCGGTTAATGAAAAAGCGTAAACTGTTCCAACCCAGGTTATATATAAAATACATGGTTACTGTCTTGAAATATAAGCGATATTTGGGCGAGGGTAAGTAAACATGATAGAGGATGAGGCTTGTCGAGCCCTCAGTATTAGTTATGTAGACACTTAGAGGGGTAATACAGAAATATATGGGGTCCTTGAAAAATGCAAATTGGGCGAGGCGTAAGCCAAGGCCAATATGTATTTATTCAAGAACCCCATGTATTTCCGTATTACCCCTCTAAGTGTCTACATAACGAATTTATCCTGTCGAAGATTTTTTTTTATAAAGTTCATTTTCTCCGAGTCTAGCAAACCATTCCCTAACAATTGTTTACAGTGTGACGTCGTATAATGCTTATGTGACGTCAGTTATTAGGCTCCTTGCTCGTTCAAATGAAAATATTTACATTTGCAAATATTTTTCTTAGACTAACCTATTGAAGTGAAAATATGTTCAATTCTGTATGAACTTATTAGGGGGTCAGAGGTCATAACGTGACCGAATCACACGGCGAGATGATATTTTGCCTACATATTTCTGTCACGGTGAAACTGGTTGTGGAACTTCTTAGTTGATAGTGATGAAAGAGATACAAAATTGAAAAATTTTCTGAGAAGCCCTTCGGACTTCACATGATTTGATCACGTGACCAACCAAGTTCATTTCCCAGAGAACTTTTTAACATTGTTATTTATTTCTTAAACAACATATTGAATATGATCTGAACAGTATGGCACGTAGAGTGGGCATATTGATTTGATGTGTGGTGGGTAGGTCACATGGATGGGGCACATTAACAATATGATGTGAATAGACAGCATAACATGGCTTAATACAGTAGTCTTCTCGACCAATGAAATTTCAAGATTTCTATCAGAGGCAGGATAATCATGTGTTCGACCCGAGCCCAAATATCACTTTTATTTCAAGACAGTAACCATGTATTTTCTTTATCCTGCAACATATTTTCACGTCCGAGATATTTTCAACCCGATTTAGGCACATCTCTGCAGTTGAAACCAAGACGCCATAGCGTAAACATTGCAATATACATGTATATGACGTCAAAATGCTTTTAGAACGTCAGAATATATGCACGAAGCTATATAAGGGCATTGACTGAATATAGCTTTGGTTTATTATATTACATTTATAAGATCAATGCAAGGGGTAGTTGCAGGATAAATACCAGTATAACTTGGGCAGCTATTAAGTTCATTTCTTGTAATTTTATTTTCCGTCATTAAGTGAAGACAATAAGGCAATTTTCCTTCAAAAATGCCTTTAAATTGAGCATATTTTAAATGTAACGTCAAGCAGAATAGTACGTTTTTGACATAAGTCATTGTGACGTAGGCAACATATGTTATATGATATAAACTAAATCTGTTATCCAATCAAATGACGTGTTACAACCAGAATTTAAATTACTACGAGATAAATAACTCCCGATAGCTAGCCAAGTTATAACAAGATATTTACTTGTAATGACTAAATAATCATTTTAATATAACGAGCTTAATGAAAAAAAATAAAAGAAGTATAACGAAAATAATGATAGTGTTGTTTCATGAAATAAACGATTGAAGTTTGTGCTCTAAGCTTGTTTTATATCTCCCAGTTGGTTCGATACACAAGAGACGCTCTAGGTACGAAAATTTCTAAAAGGAGGCAAGCTACTGACAAACAAGTTGATGAAATAAGAATATCAACAGTCTTGTTTAAACTCATCATTTTGCAAATTTTATGGTCAATATAATGACCTTGTCAGCAAATGCAATCTAATTTTGAATCAAATGCTGACTGATGCTTTCACAGTAATTATTTATTGATTATTTCCTTTATATTCCTTTGTATAGCCATGATCCCCTGTTATGGCCCCTCTATTCTCCTGGGTCTTCATGATTTGAAAAAGAATTAAATCTACATTACCTGAGGATGCTTTTTATATTATCATGAGCAATCATGGCTTTGTTGTTCTTGTGAAGAATTATAAAGATTCCCCCTATGTATTGATACGTAAAACTCTTGTCGCCCATTGAGGCCCCACCTTACCCCCGGGGGTCATGAT